AGCCGTTAAGGACAAGTGTTACGCTAACCATCCAGAGACGATTGACGACTTGAAACATGAAATCGAAGTTGCCATTGACGAAATAGAGGCCCAAACAATCGAAAATGTACTGAAAAATTGGACTGATCGAATGGGGTATTGTAAGGCTAGCCGTGGCAGTCATTTGAATGATGTTGTCTTTCATTCCTAAATGGAAAGGTTCAATCTTTCTAATAAACTCATAACTTTGAAAAAATATTCATTAGTTTTTTTTTTATAGCCGATTCAAATTCCAAATCTTAAATGGCCCACCTTGTATTATGCTTATATTTCTGTCCATCTGTAGAATAAATAAAAATATCATAGGAAGTCTTGTTTCTAAAAACTGATGTAATACATTCCAAATTTTTAGGTTTGATTATATTGTCCAATAATCAAGGTTTGTAATCGTGTACGAATTTTTCCAAAAGGTTACAAAATTTAGAACTTACACACTTAAAAAGAGAAATTGTTACGTTTCTCCCTGGTCTCCCCTACAGATCACATAGGATATTGTAAGACATAATTATATCGGAAGGCATATTCAGGCCATAGCAACCATAGCAATGCGACGGGGTTTTGGTTGTTATCGTGGGATTGCGTCGCCGGATACACATTAAAAGAGATCGTCTAATAAATTATTATTTTATTTCGTTTATCACCATTTATTTATTTTCGGCTCCCTTACAATCTCAGAAGTGGGATAAAGTACTGATTATTCGTGGTGAGAAAAGTGTGATCAAAGTGAATCACCATTATGAAAACGCTTCAAGAATTTACGAACGCAGAGCTGAAGGAAATTTTGAAGAAAAAACAGTTATTAACAACGGGAAACAAGAACGAGTTATTGGCCAGAATTATGAACGCCGATCCAGAAGGAAACTGGTTGAACGAAGTCAATGCAGAAGCGGAGGCTGTGTTAGAAAATGCCTCGGCGTTGCCAGGTACGAGCGGACAACAAGGCGAGATTCTGCACCAGATCGGTCAGAATCGAGCAGAAAATGCCTGGGCCTTGCCAGAAAACGTATTGCGCGAAGATGGCTGGTATCGAGAGAGATCGTTGTTGCAGCGTGACTTGGATCTTATGCGACGTGAAAATGCATTTTTACGAATGTCGTCTCCCTCACATGTGAACGGAAGTGAGCGTGTTACAAGGCAATCGGTAAATATTACAGCGGTGAGCTTATTATTATGTGATTATGTTGGTGCGGAACAAGATTTTGGGCAATGGGAAAAACAATTACGTTTATTACGTAGCAGTTACGATCTTGATGATGGACAGGCCAAGATTTTAATTGGATGCCGTCTTAAAGGGAAGGCATTAGCCTGGTTACATTCGAAACCAGATTTGCTAGAATTAAATGTCGATGAAATTTTAAAACAATTGAAAGTAATGTTTGATCACCGCATCGATAAAGTGGAATTACGTAGGAAATTCGAAGCACGCACATGGCAAGTCGGCGAGAGTTAGTACTAAGTTATGTATATAAACCTTATTAATATCTGTTGCGATTTTCTTTGGTAATAATACTAGCCATTAAGTTATGTATTTAAATATTATTAATATCTGTTACAATTATTTTTAAATTTAAATGTTAAATATATAATGTTATACATATACCTGTATGTACCCGAAAGTCCGAGGACGGACTTATGTCAGAATGGCCGAAACTGTAAGACATAATTATATCGGAAGGCATATTCAGGCCATAGCAACCATAGCAATGCGACGGGGGTTTGGTTGTTATCGTGGGATTGCGTCGCCGGATACACATTAAAAGAGATCGTCTAATAAATTATTATTTTATTTCGTTTATCACCATTTATTTATTTTCGGCCCCCTTACAATATGGATTACTTATATAACTATAGAGGAACATTCTTCTCCGTGTGCACTCGGAATCGATAGAAGGCAACGTCCACGGGTATCAGTCGATATCGCGGCGTCCGTCACGCGACTGGCAAGATGTCCGGAAGCGATAGGCGTGTTCCGCTCGTTCCCGAGGTTTAATCGCGGGTTAATTAGGTTGCGACGTTCGCTATGGGCTGTCTGGTAACGAGCATCGCGAAAATCACCGAGCCAGACATCTGCCGCAATTATTAATTCAACCGATTATCCGGCACTGGAAGTTTCCCTGGTCGGTTTAAAAACTTCCAGATATCCAGCGTCGAGACTGTTGCGATTTAAAACGGAACAGATGCCGCCTCCCCTGCGAATCTTGCGTTGACCTTAATTGGTCTTTCGAGACTCGTCTCTCTCGGCTGAGTATCGGGGGTTAATCGTTTGCCCGGTTTAGCACGTGTCACGTATCCACATCGTTAATTAAAAGAAATTAATCGCCATGGATTTACATGGTGAATCCAACGCCTATGGATCGGTGGACGATTGCACAAAGCGTTTACCGTAAAATTGTTCGTTAACATTGAATGTTAATGTCAATACATTCGGTACCAGGAGTCACGTATGTGTAACGCTTCCAATTTCTAACTCAGCATAATTTATTTGATAACAGCAAAATGAGCTTTACAGTATTCACCTATACAGGATCGCTTAAATATCTGACTTATTTACTGTTCCATCAAAAAACTTCTCAGGATAAAGTTGAAATATTTCAAGAAGCACATGTAACGGTGGAAAGATTTTTTTTCTCAACGTCATTTCTTTTTTACGAGATTTCAAGGTCGTTGGTATTTTTTTTAATGGAATCTTATACTTTTTTTCGATATTTTTATAGAGCATATTGGCATTTTATAGACCATAATTGGTCTAACGAAGAACTTGTAACAAAAGGTCGATAGCTTGAATAATCTTTAATGGCTGTTTACTATTCCGTACAATAATTCATGCACTTCATGATCTCATAAATCACGTGACCTACCGCAGACTATTTAATAGGATTCTTAGAGCCAACGATCAACAGCAACCTTAATAAATAGTTGAAACAAAGCAGCAAATTATAATCGTGAACACAGAGCAACGGTTCTAATAACGTAACGTAACAATTTCGTTTCTAATCTCGATTTAAAGGTAAAAGGCTTTTCATAATTGAGCACTGAAATGAAAAATTCTATTTGTAAGCTACCGATAGGATTCAACAAATCAGAATAATCTCCAACATATTCACCATCAAAAGAGCCATTAATCAACCAATACTGAAAACCCAGCGTGGTTTACCGATGAACAATTTCCTGTACAGACGATAATAACAAAAAAACATGTTAATTCCACTCACCTCGACGAGAACACCTTTGAAGTTCTGGTTGATCGTAACGCTGCCGAGTTTCACGCAGAAATCTCCGATCTCAAACCGCGGCCCCTTGGACTCCATCTTCTGCATTTTGTTCGTATAGATGCTGGAGATCTTGTACATCAACAAATCGAACAAACCGTCGGCTATCAGCGGCACCACCTTGTTCCCAGACTCGAGGATGGCGAACACGGAGGCTGGTTGTTCCGAATTGTGGAGAACGTGTAGGGTTCTTTGCACGCCTGTGAAACATAATTACACGTCTAAGGAATTATCTGGAATTCGTCAGATCACTTAAATAAAGGCGAGTGTTTCAAGTTGAGCTCTTTTTATGATACTACAAGATCTGGAGAATTCCCGAACCTTCGATTGTGATATATAGTATCTATTCTGCGATTATCTGTGCCCATGAACGAATCTGTCAAGCAAATAAATGTTTAATCTTTGTGCAAAAGTGTATTGAAAACTTTGTTTCTGCTACCCTTCTTATTACACACTTCGTTTATAGCCGTCAACCGGGTACGTTGCGGATTTGTAATAAAAAAAAATTACGAGGGGTCGGCTCCTCCATGCATAGAGGAGT